CGCTAACCCAATCCTACTCGCCCTAACCCGGATCGAGCCAGAGAAGTATTAGCACTCCAAACCCCGTGTAACATCTTTGTATTAGCGCCTAGAAGCTTCTACGGCTGTTAGAGATGGTAGATGTTGTTACGTTAGTAGATGAATTAAGGAAAGTTCTTGCTGTTTCTTAGCTTCTTCCACTAGAGAAGTCGCGAGTAACTATGGATAGATACTAGGGCCTTAGGGCGTGTAATTAGGTATTACGATGCAAGTAGATTAAGCATGTTGACTTGCACGCTTCTAGAAGTTGCTAGCATGCGCCACAGCTATCCTTAGCACCTAAGTGCTATAGGCATAGCGCCGAATTTGTTACGATAGCATACGGCAACATCTGAGCACGCTACTGTACGCTACTGCATGCTAAGTGCCGCTAACAGCGCACGTCCTGTGGGACGAGTTTTAATGATCTTGCTGTCTGCGCGGAGAAACTGCCGGAACGTGCCCATAGTACTCTAAGTTGACCTTACGTGGCGGTAGTCTCAATCTTTGCTCTTTTAGCTTTCTCCCTAGCCTACCGAGTTTCTCGCAGATATATGCTGTCGCAAACAGACAAGGGCGTGTTAGAGGAGAGTTAGGGAACAATATGAACAGAACGAGCGACAGCACAGTCGACGACACGTTTTTTAGCGTCGGAAACTGATATGCTAAGAGAGTAAAGCCTTTAGAATAGATGCGCATTGTATTTGTTTGTATTCAAGAATGCTTGGGGAAATCCGAGGGTCCGGAAGAGAAAGTGTCCCGTTACACCATGCGTCCCGGCACGCTTGGATCGACGTTACTGCTTGCAAACATGTGTTCTTGGAATTGTAAAACATACCAATCATGTACACGCAACCCTCCTCATGAGAATCGAGACCACATTGTCTATTGTGCAACAGCACTCAATCGTCGTAACAGAGACCCATGCATACCACCGTCTGGATTTTTAAGGGACCTTCCATTGACTCGCGACGCTCAAGATACAAACCTAGCTGGGGACTGTCCTGTATGTAAGGGGGTAACGCCGTCTAACTCCTCTGATTAGATTGGTTTGCTCCCCAATCTAGTGTAAGAGATCGTTCGTAAGCCTTTTTGCTAGCATTCTCACCAAGATCTTTAAAAGTACTAAATTTTTCTGACTTAGTTTCGTCCTATAGCTGAAGGAAACAACGCACAATGTATTATTTTTCGAGACTTTGAAGACTTGGAGTTCTAGGTTGCTGAGATCAACAATGGGGACCTCCCTGCAGTAAAGATCGAGGACGAGATATAGAGTGGTAGGAGAAGATGGATCTCCACATATGTGTATCCCGTAGTCTTCTATATCTAGGAGATTTTGCGACTCGAGGAAAGTCTCAACCATTCGCCCGTGCTCTCTGAAGTATTGTTCGCGACATCGGAGGACAACTCGCTTTGGAGCAATATGGCTCATCGTGGCTAACCACAGAAATGATATCGCGGATGGAGTGGATAAGGAGGTCGCATGCGATGGGAAGACGAGGCGCGACGGAAGAAGGAAGACGAAGTGCAGTGCGAGTTAAAATAAGTGCCGGCCTGTAACCATAACTTAGAACGTGATACAATGAAGGTCGATTTAGTGCAACATGCGCAGTAGGACTTACACAACACGATGAAGAAAGGTACTTTGGCGCTCTAGCGGGTCATTGCGGAACAGGTTGACGCGAAAGGGTGGAGTCGGCAGACATGGACAGTAGGCGGCTTGAGTAGGATGCAGTTAAAGGCTTGGCGATCGACGTGACAAACTGGACAAGCTATAGGCAGGCAAATACGTGTAGAAAGGTAATAAGCTGGAACTAGGTGAGTTCTGAAATGTTGTTTGATGAGTAGGAGATGAGGCGAATCCACGTTCCCAAGCAGCCGCGCCTGCACGGCCACAAAGCTAAGCCACTTGCTGATCGATTGGATTACTAATTGTAGAGCCCCGCACACTAACCCAAGACGTCGTCCCTTTTGTGGTGGCGACCTGATCAGCATCGCCTGCACACGTAAACGATAAGGGTACGACACGCTGTTCCTACTTAACCTGGCGATGAATCGAATATCATGCCGTGAGGCGATCAAAGTATATGGACTAACGTCCCTCCCTGAGTGCTGGGACACCATCGTGTGCTTGTCATTTTTAGCACAAGCTCCGCTCATACTCTGCCGCATGTCATCAGAGCGACAGGGCGCGCTTTGGTTACGTCGAGGCTGCTGGTTATTGCCTTTTTGCTAGGCTATCGACATATTCGCAGCCATGGATCGAGCTAGCCAAGCACTAGCTCAAGCTTTCTCTTCCGACCACTATGAGACATAACGTAAATTTTAGGTAAGGGAAGAGGAACAAGTTCGTTAATCACTTTAGTATATTGCCGATACAATCTTGTAACGATTATTAGAGTGTGCTAGGAAAGCGAAGTGCCCGAAGTCAAAGTACCCCTCATTGTCCCAGCACTTAGGGATGGGCGTTAAGGTAACAAAGTTATGTCTATAATAATAGTAAGTGCTCGCAAAAGAATTGACCACGATATTTAGTAATCTAACATCCATCCACCAGTAACAGAACAATTGCTGTAGCGAAACACCACCGCGGCTCTCTCTTAACAACAACGACGATAACTAAACAGCTTAGAGAATCTCGATATTCAATTTTTGGTCCTTCATTTCTTTTGGCTGTAGTGTTTTAATTATAGTTTCCCTAGATATAAACTATGACATAATAATTATTATATACTACGCATGACTTTATCACAAATTATACTAAACTAACTTTTATCACTCTTTGAAAAAATCAATCGCCTCAAGGACTTGGTGGACCTTTGATATGTCCTCTCCACAATCTATATAAACTGCTCCTACCAGTGCCTCAACTGTCGACGCAGCAGTCTCTTGAGGCACCTGACCTTCTTGGCATGGGTTTTTGGCAATGCAATCCGATATCCCGCTTCTCTGAGCTATTTCTCTCAACCTCTTGTTTCCACATAAACTTTTCACCCTGTTATGACCCTCCTCTAATAAGGTTAGTTTCTTAACAAAAGTTTGTGTATCTGTGCACTCACCAGTACTTTCCTTAGAGTGATACCACGGCTCCAGAACAGCTTCTTGCAGAACGGAATCTCCTAACAGAGCAAGGCGCTTATTGCCTTTTGCATCACCCTGTATATCTTTGCTGGAGACTGACGCCCCTGCAGCGAGTAGTGCTTCATCTAGCAATTCATGGTTGGAGAAATGATACTTGAGGATAGTCTCCACGGAACGCTCGGCCATTTTCACGATCATAGAAGAGATAAAGTGAATAGCTGTGGTTCGTAGAAGCTGTACGCCATAGATAACTACTCCTCATCTAAAGAATAATCAAGTGTCAATGCACCTACTTTATATGCGTAGGCAACTACTAAGAGGATTAAAACCCCCTGTCATTGTGCCATTGCTTTTTTTGAAAATTTTCTGAACGTTCCATGTCTCTGTTCAATCCCCAATAGTAATTAAGACTATGACTAACGTGTACCAAACTTATAGAACTCCGCACTACGCTTACCCACGTAACAAACAGGACGATTACTGATATTACGACAGCAAGATGACATACTACGCACTGATCAACTACACTAACTTTCAGCTACGTCAAACCGACCACATAAAATGAGGGTGTTTGATGTGACGCTGAGCAGTCTCTGGTTAGAACAGCATCTCATGACACTCATAGCTGCCAGATAGAAATCGGCTGGGTTAAACTAAACTAATTACACTGACGTAGGGTAGATACTCTGCGTATTACACAGAATGGTAGCTATTTTGCAAGCAAATGCATGCTCATGAGATCTTGTTGTCGTGATTATCACGGATGATGACAATGTGCATGTCCCAAACGCATTAGTATGAGCATAAACATAATTATGGCAGGTGATAGCGAGCGCTTGTCCAGGCGTGCGGTGTAGTACACCATGTCTAGGTTTAACGTCTATCCTTGCGTAGCGGGACATCCTGCGTGACGGGACGCTACAAACACTCCCTAACATAATAAACTTAACAACAGGATAGAGGAATAAATACTCTCAGAATAGCAGCCTTAAGCTATTAAGTCTATCGTCTCCTAACGTCCTCTAGAAATAGGTTTAGCTTACTGTGCAATACGACAGTCTAGTACGAGCGTCACGCGACCGCCTCGCTTTAGCTAGCAGTAGATGCGTTGAAAGCTTATGCATCTTGTCGAAAGTCTGTTAACTTACAGCTTATTACATTATTGTCTTATTCTGAGCACTGCGCTTAAGCTCGAGAGACCGTCGCGCGTCTGTGCTAAATGCAAGTCTGCCTGCTAAAAGTGCTAGATAGGGAAGTGTAACGGCGCAGGCAAGACTACTCGGATCAGTACCGGCAGTAGTGTCACTCAGAGGCATATGGGAGTGCGTGGGACATCAAACGAGCCTTGATTCGAATGGACACCTATAGGCCTTGTACGAAAGGTATTAAAAGCCTACAGAGCTAGCTACAGGGAGTGTCTCAATATATACCTGTCCTAGTCGGGCCCGAATCGGATCCGACTAAGAACGAGTAGCTGATGAAGGGGCGGCCGATACTTCCTCTAATCCGGCTTCTAGGATTGGTCCGATACTTGGCGAGGCTGTAACATCGTTACAGTAACTCTAGAGTGTCACGCGCGTCTCTAAGCTATCGTAAATCGCTAGAAGTTTAGAGCGTAAACATCTATTGTCTAACTAGCTAATGCTAGCTAATCGTGTTTTCCTCTATGTAGGGAAGAGCTTCTGCTAGAGCTATACAATCATGTTGGCGTCTCACCATAATAGATCTCGTTAGGTACGCTGACGTTAATTAGCGTTAGTGTTACACGGGGTTCGGGTCTATACTTCTCTTGCCGGGTCCCACACTAAGGCCGGTGAGCTTTACGTTAGTGTTCCGTGAGGTTTGTCTGGCGAGACAGTGGACTAGGGTGCTTTAGTAGAAGGTAACAAAGGGTTGACAAATACCTAATCTATATTGCTATAGACTAACAAGTAACAATCTTGTTAAGTAAAGTAACTAGTAAGAAAGTACAATTTGAGTTGAGCACAACGAGAGTAATAATGAAATCCATCCATCCTTATATCCTCATTGCTTCCAGTCATGCCATCCCAAGGCGTCCTGCCATCCCACGGATGGTTGCTCTTGGCGGGATGGCACATCACGTGACACAGCCCCGCGATGATCATTGCCTTCTGACGTGGACGTCCCTAGGCCTTCAGCCATCTCGTCACTTGTCAAGGAGAGAATCCTTCTTGTTACTTGTAACAGTTAGCCCCGTACTCAAGCAGTAACTTGACCTGTAAGCCCAAAAGTACCATGCATAGCCACGTGGCTACTCACTGACTAACAATGCTCTATTTAAACTTGCTCCTATCATGATACACACAAGAATAAACGATACTTCTTACATGCTTAACTGCTTACATATCTAATTATAGATACGCTTTGTTTTGATCATGGAAACGCGTGAGGATTTGTATGCAGAAGCGCAGAGTTGGTAGAATACTGCAGAGAGCTTCTCCAAAATCTCGGTCTGATGCTGAGTATAACACGAATGGCCCAGATTCTGATTTATTACCTCAGTACTCGGCATTCAAGGCCACAACAATACCATTAGGCACTGCAAACCTCCAAGCCTGAATATTAGCGGGTAAAGAGCTAGAAAAAGGTGGCGAAGACTTGACATTAGGGTCGTCGTTGCTTATGTCCAGGGCGAGGCGGTGGTCCTTCTGGACTTGCATGAAAATGTAGGAGCAGCCTTGTATTCTGGCAGCATCGTTGGTGGAGATATTTCTTTGTAAGACGTTCGAGTTTTGATCGCCTGACACTTTGTGTAGTCAAATATTTCGGCTTAAAAACAAACATGAATAAAAATCCCATATTTGGAAAGCGAGCTATAGCATGCGTCCCTTTCCAGTCCCGGAGCTAAGACCAATCTTATCATCATGTCGAGCTGGATGATGAATGGAGCAATCAATGACATGACTGCTAATAAACTGGCTTCACGGAAGATGAGAATAAGATCTCGAGACGGACTTGGACGATCGGAAGAATGAGCTCGTAATCTAGAAAAATTGTCTTTGATATTGAGGATTTTCTTGTCCTACTTCTTGTTTTGACCAAGCTTGACCGCATACTCTACGCCTTCAACAACCTCCTGGGGCTGGCTGAGAAAAGGCGAATGCGACCCGGTTGATGTGAAGGTCGGCGCATCTGCACCCAACATCTGTGCCATCTGTTGCTGGATAGGTAGTGGAAGCGCTTTATCGGCCTCACAGAAGAGATACATTGACGGGATCTCATGCCACGGCTCATAAGTGACTTCGTCGGTGAAAATGCGCGCTGATTGGTGCTTTAGTTTTGAGATAGCAGCCTTCTGTGCTTCGTCATCTAGATCATGGTAGAAGACTATCTCAGGCGTAGCGGCGTAACAGTAATCGCCCTAAAACTAAAATTTAGCCCTGCTAAAGATGGGGGGAATGAAACTGATCTGGTAGATATACGAACATCGAATTGCATCCAGGGTAAGAATCGGCCACCAAGCATAGCCTTAATAGTCGCCCCCTTTGGGGCAACGAAAGCAGCGAGGTAAACAAACATAACAACACCGCCTCTCTTACCCGCTGCCTTTCGCTGCTTGTGACCCAAACCCCGAAGGGCATTTTGTCCAACTAAACCCCCATATGAGTGCACAACTAGAACGATCTCTTTGCACTCATCAGCAAGTCTTTCTAGGGTAGAGCGCAACGCCATAGCGTCATCAGCAAGGCCTTTATTAGGAGGCTCTGCTCCTACGGAAGGATACGCCACAGCCTCCGTTTCCCATCCGCGCTGGTGCAATTGGTCGCGGGTAGTGTCGTAGCAGTCTAGTGTGTGCCAGGCGCCCGGGGCAAATACGATAGTAGGCTTGGACATGCTGTTGGCAATAGCAATCTGGAACCAAGGGATAACGCTACGGAAGATTGGCAGGGGCTAATAGAATCCAGGCGTACATAGAACAAAATATACTTCCGACTCGTTTGTTGAACTCAGAGTGAGGTTTTGAGCGACATTTCTGTGTGCAGCGTCCGTGAATAGAAGGGCCGATAGAGAGACGCACGGATAAATAATAGGCTCGTGTTAGCGGATGTGGAAGCCCTCTTCCGACGGGCTTCTTCCAGCGTTCATCCTTGCTGTCTTCACTAGTTGTTATTTTTAACCTTGTTTACGGCCTTCTCTAGGCGCTTAGTATTGACAAGGGAGGGGGTGTGCTTAAAAAGGTCGCTGCCCGCTATGTAAGTCTCTTCTCTGCTTGTGCACAGTCAAGTGCAAAGGTCACTCAAGACATAGGGACACAGCTTTTACAATACGCCTAACAGCGGATGCCTCATTCTAGGCTGCACATAGCTGAACTAGGGGCCGCTCCGCCGAACAGATCCTAACAGAAAACAGCAACGACTGCCGATTGGCGAGCCCAATGGTGGGCGGCGGGAAACCCCTCCGCACGAACCGCCCCACCTTGATCCGACACACCTTGCAGTAGCCCCTTTGCCACATGCAAGAGGCCCTTTCCAGCGACCATGATTTCTTTTGCCCCCTGACTCGGTATATGTTAGGCTCTCCTTCAAATACGAAATGAAACCATTCTGCGCGCTCCCCGCTTGCAACATGCTGCTATACTACCTGTTGCCATGTTTGAAGCCGTAGTTCAGCATCGATCCAGGCACGACACGTCAGACCGAGGCCCTCAACTACGAGACACGACCACCGCGCTGTTAGTTCTTGCCTTTGTCTTTGTAGCACTGCGCTTCATCGCACGCTCCAAGCGTGGCCTTAGCTATGGAGCAGACGACTGGATGATTGTAGTCTCACTGGTATGTGCCTATACGTCTCTGACCTTGCCTTCAAACAACTTAGCTTGGGCTTACCTAAGTGCAGCTTATTTGCTTCGTTGCCGGAGGACTTAACTACGCTAGTAAGTCCATACTTGCTAAGGTCTATTGGATTTTCTAATATTTCTAGTGATTCATTGGGGTTTAGGAAGGCATGCTATCACTCTGCCTCCCGATAATGTCACTATGGTGCTAAAGGTATGAAACTCATCTCTAAGAAATTACGCAGGGAAGAACCCTACTAACCTGAATCACTATAGCTCCTCGTTGCTTTTGAGTGTGTCTACTGCACTGCTGTAGGGCTAGTTAAGCTCTCTTTACTCGTCATGTACCTGCGCCTCTTCCCAACAAACAGCTTTCGAATCGGCTCATACATCTTGGGATTCGTGACAATTGCTTGGGTTATCGCTATTAATTTTGTCAGCATTTTCCAGTGCACTCCAGTCAAGAAGGCCTGGTTGGGCCCTGCAATCGACGGCACTTGTATCAACCTCAAGGCTTCATTTATTGGCAATGCTGTGCCTAATATCTTGACAGACGTTGCTATCCTGTGTATGCCCGTCGCTCAAGTGTTGAAGCTTCAAGTAACGACCGCTCAACGTGCGTCTTTGCTTTTCATGTTCCTGCTTGGAGGATTGTCAGTGCTCTTCCATCTTAACTCAACTGTTTTCATTACTGACTGTGGTTCACAGCGTACTTTGCGCTAGTGCCTACCGCTTTGTGACAGTCATGCAATTTAATGTAACCGACACAACAGGAACACTAGCAACCGCATGCACCTGGTGCGTTGTCGAGGTCGCATCTGGCATCATAAGCGCATGTCTGCCCACGTTACGTCCACTTATGCTCCTCATTTCATCCCAATTCAGCAGCACTCGGAACCGGTCTGAGAATGAGTTGGTCACGGGAGGGCGGTCGAGCAAGACACAGCTCGTCACCATTGGCGGCACTGGCACCAAACGTAACCAGGATTTCGAGCGCCTCAAAGATGACTTCGAGGTTCACAGTGGTTTTGCTGCAGCACATACCCATGGCAGTCATGGTGACGCGTCTTCAAGTATTGATGAGAGGGCTATAGTGGGTGCAATATATGGACAGGAACTAAAGTCTCTCTAAGGGAGTCCCTCTTTTGTTGAAATAGTACACATCTAAGTGGGTATTAGATCCCAGTACTGAGGCTGCGGGATTGTTGAGGGTTACTATACATGGTTACTACTTACAATGGATCCGTCATTATCAAATCTTACATGTAAACTGGGAATATTCCATCTCCTTTATCTTTTTATTTCCTTAAACGATTAGAGTCCTGCAACAAATAGGCAACAAGACTTTCTAAATTTCCTTAATCGAGAAGGACTACGTCCTATCCTTTGCTAGAAGGTTGTGTACCCAAAGACTAGGTATACGAGTGGGCCTTACTCAGAGATTACATGTATGAAAGCTAAACATGTAATCAGGTATAACTATGTATACAGTACATACGAGGGAATATTCTGCATAGTAGTTCTTATCTTTCTTATTATGTACAATAGGTAAAGCTTCTCCGCCCATAACAAACCATATAAACACTAAGATCGGATTTTCTCCCAAAACACTCTCCAACCCGCCTTCTTGCTATAAGAGAAATTGTTAAACACTGTCGTCAATAGATGCTCCCCATACGCGCTCCCCTCATGGATTCTCTTTCCCCAGGCCCTCTGCACACATTTCTCTAGCGGTCTCACGACAGCCTCAAAATCCAACTCATAGAAAAACAGCACACTGATCCTATACTTGTCCCCTCCGCGATAGATAACACGGTGCAGCGTGCTCTTCCACAACTAGTCCGTCCACCGCTCAATCATATACTCGGTGTTAACTGTAAACGCGCCGCGCACCGAGTCGGCGTTTAGCCACGTACTGTCTTTAAGCTGTACCGGGAGCACATTGCGCGTATCGTCTGATAAGAGCAAGGTAACGCATCCGTAATCTGCGTGTTCACCGCAGGAGAGCAGCGAGATGTGTTTTTCGTTCTCATTTTCATTCTCTCTCTCCACCGAAGCAGGAGTAGACGATGAAGAAGAAGGTGAAGAAGTAGCAGGCAAAGGCGGACACCCAATCATCTGCATAACCTACATGCAGAGAGCGATCTCAACGCGCTTGCGCAAACTAATCGCCTCTACCAGCTTACGAACCCGTACCTCTACGGCCACAACATATAATGCTCCAACGACTCTGCGCTGCTATGGGCAGCTGAGCATGGACAAGAACGAACCGTGTGCAAGCTGCTAGAGAAAAGAGCATGGGCTGACCCTTCGATGAGGCAATTTGGGGAGGCCTTTGTATTAGCAGCTGGAGCAGGCCACAAGAGTATTACAGATTATCTCTTAAGTGAAGGGGCCGGTGTGAACTTTAACACGGCTAATGACATATACGCCAGCGCGCTGTAGGCAGCCTCTGCAGAAGGACACGAGTAGGTTGTTAAGGCACTGCTCAATAAAGGCGCTAACGTTAACGCGCAAGGTGGATACTATGGCAACGCGCTGTAGGTAGCTTCAGCTAAAGGCCACGAGCAAATAGTCAAGATGCTGATTGACAAAGGCGCCAAGGTTAATGTGCAGGGCGGTTCTACAGCAGCGCGCTACAGGCAGCTTCACACGGAGGCCACAAGTAGGTGGTTAAGGTGCTGTTAGATGAAGGCGCTGAGGTTAACACGCAGGGAAGTCCCTACAGCAGCGCATTGCAGGCGGCTTTGTTTAGAGAACATAAGCAAGTGATGAAGTTACCGCTTGAGTACGGGGCTAACGCTAATTAACGTCAGCGTACCTAACGAGATCTATTATGGTGAGACGCCAACATGATTGTATAGCTCTAGCAGAAGCTCTTCCCTACATAGAGGAAAACACGATTAGCTAGCATTAGCTAGTTAGACAATAGATGTTTACGCTCTAAACTTCTAGCGATTTACGATAGCTTAGAGACGCGCGTGACACTCTAGAGTTACGATTAGACTAGTTACTTAGTGTAGTAGTTAGGGACTTAGTAGTCGTCGTTTCTCTAGTCTCTTAAAGCGAGGCTGATGTTACAAGTAACAAGAAGGATTCTCTCCTTGACAAGTGACGAGATGGCTGAAGGCCTATGGACGTCCACGTCAGAAGGTAATGATCATCGCGGGGCTTGGTCACGTGATGTGCCATCCCGCCAAGAACAACCATCCGAGGGATGGCAGGACGCCTTGGGATGGCAGGACTAGAAGCAATGAGGATATAAGGATGGATGGATTTCATTATTACTCTCGTTGTGCTCAACTCAAATTGTACTTTCTTACTAGTATCTTTTACTT